ACCCACTTCCCTTCTGCCTGGGAGTAGGCAGCTGTAAGACAATGTTTAGTAAAAACATGTTTACTAAAAACGATACAATAAGTTCCTGGCCACTTCCCCTTCTGCCTGGAAGTAGGCAGGTGTAAGACAATGTTTAGTAAAAACATGTTTACTAAAAACGATACAATAAGTTCCTGGGAAAGGCCTTCCCACGGAAACCGCCCTGACCTCGACCTTGTCCAAAGACTAACCGCACCTTCAAAAACCCACACACATCCACCTCTGGTGTCAGAGCAGAACCAGCCAGGGTAGAGGAGAGAGCAGAAGCTTCTCTGGTGGGAGCTTTTCTTAGGAGGTTTTCTTGAACCTTTTTGGAGCCTGTTTAAAGTTTTCTTTATATCATTGAACGAGTCTCTGTGTTGTCAATCCCCGACACCCTCTGCACCTTCTCGGACACAGGCCGCTCAGCAGACGGAACAATTGGAGGTCCCACTGAGATCGTGAAAGCGAGGTAAGTGGACGGGGTTAAGAAACTATGGGGAATAGTTCCGGGAAGCTAGAATCATTACAGTATCAACTAAAAAAGTTACTTAAAGAACATGGGACTGCAGTCAAGTCTAAAACCCTAGAAGGCTTTCTAAAATCGATCGAACGAGCCAGTCCATGGTTCATTACTGGGGGAAGCTTAAATATTCCAGATTGGGAGGAGGTTCGCCGTGATCTTCATAGACTTTTACGAAAAGAGGGATCTGAGTCCTTGCCCCCTACGACATTCTCCTTATGGAGATTAGTGAGGGGAGCACTTTTGACAGATAAGGTTCGTTACCGCCAGGTAGTTCAGGACACAAAAGAGGCTTTTTTAGAGTTACAAGAGACTGAGACTCAAGCCTCCTTGAGTTCAGGGGCAGAGAGTGATGATGAAGAGACCGTGACTGAAACTAGAGGCTCCATTGTTAGTGAGGATGAGGAGGAGTCTCTTAGTAACAATAAAAAAATGGGTAGACATCTCCGGGCGCGACCCAAAAAGAAGGACTCCAGTCAGAATCGGTTATATCCTTCTCTATCAGACCTAGAAAATGGAAGTAGCTCAGACTCAGACTCGTCACAGTCTGAAAAGGAACGGTTACTTGCTGAGATCGCGGCCCTTAAAAAAGAACTAAAAAAGATTCTAATTAAGGAAAGACAGGACAGGGAGAGAAACCCTTCCCCATACTCTGAAAAAAGGGACTTCTCCTATGAGATAACCCAGTCCTTCTCAGACCTGGAGGGAAGACCCAGAGGAGGGGTCCAATGCTGCCCGGTGGTGGCCCCAGTAATGGAAGTTCCAGATCCAAACAATTCTGGACAGGTCATTCGGCATCATAACCCTTTAAATTTTAAGGATATAAAACAACTTAAAGAGGCAACTTTAAATTATGGAGCACAGGCTCCCTTTACACTTTCCTTAATGGAATCTTTTGCGTCTCTTAATTTGACACCTGGCGATTGGCAGCAGCTTTGCAGAGCAGCTCTGTCGGGGGGAAATTATTTGATTTGGAGAGGTGAGTTTCAGGAAAGATGCAGCCAGACAGCCCAAAGGAATGCACAGGCCGGACAGCCCCAGAGAAATGTGGAGATGCTTACCGGGAGTGGTCAATACGCCACCATTCAGCAACAAATGCAATATGACATCGCAGTCTATGCCCAAGTGGCAGCAGCGGCCCAAGGGGCTTGAAAGCATTGCCTTCCAAGGAAGGAGGGGATCATCTGTCCAAAATCCTTCAAGGACCTTCCGAACCTTTTCAAGACTTCGTAGACCGTCTCAGTCAGGTAGCAGAAAGAATATTTGGGGGCATTGGGCCTGCGATGCCAGTCATCAAGCAGATGGCATTTGAAAACGCAAATAAGTATTGTAAGGAAGCCCTTCGCCCCTATCGCAATAAAAGTCTAAATGACTATATCCGGATCTGTAGGGACATTGATGGGAACTTCATCCAGGGCCAAGTGTTAGCTGCTGCCATTCGGCCCCAAGTGGGGAAAGAAAGACCTACTCTGGGAAGGAGAAAAACATGTTTCAGCTGCGGCAGGGAGGGACACTTCTGTAGAGAGTGCCCTCAAAATAGTACTGCGGGTCTCAAGAGACCTGGTTTATGCCCCCGTTGTCGAAGGGGATATCATTGGGCCAATAACTGCTACTCTAAAACTGACCGGGAGGGAAATTTCCTTCCTGCTAATAATAATCAGGGAAACGGGAGGAGGGCCCCGCCCCAGGGCCCCAAAACCAATGTGTACGGGGCAATGACCCCTGCTCTGGGCAGTGGCAGGACTCATTTTCTCCCCCAGAGCAACCCCTTCATATCTCAGACCTCCTTAGAGCCACCTCAGGGAGTGCAGGATTGGACCTCGCTCCCTCTGCCCGGGCAATCCTAACACCGGAAATGGGGATCCAGGCCCTCCCTACTGGGGTGCATGGGCCATTGCCTCCAGGCACGGTCGGACTACTCTTGGGACGGTCCAGTATTATTCTTCGAGGCATCCAGGTACACCCCGGTGTTATAGACCAGGATAGTGAGGGGGAGATTAAAATAATGACATCAGTGGGCAGTGGGGTTGTTGCCATCCCTGCAGGAGAACAGATTGCTCAGTTACTCCTTCTCCCTACAGCTCCTTTTGAGGCTAGAAAAATTAAAGAGAAAAGGGGCAACCAAGGTTTTGGAAGTACCGGCCCGGCAGCATTTTGGGTAGCCACTATGGAGAACCGCCCCCAGCTTACATTAAAGATAGAAGGCAAGTCCTTTAGGGGCGTCTTAGATTCTGGGGCAGATTTCTCTGTCTTCTCAGATAAATTCTGGCCCCCCGCCTGGCCGAAAGAGGAAGGAACAGTGACCCTCCAGGGAATAGGACAGGCTGTGCCCCAAAAAGCCTCAGAATCTTAAAGTGGCAAGACTCTGAAGGCCACACAGGGCTTTTCCAGCCATATGTTTTGCCTGGCCTCCCTATTAACCTCTGGGGACGGGACCTCATGCAAGAAATGGGAGTGGTCCTCACCACTCAGGCACCCAAGTCCAAAAGCAGGGGCCCCCAGATGATGCAAGGGAGGGGCTGGAGCCCGGGGAGGGAACTAGGTAAACTAGAACAGGGAGAGGTTTGCCCTGTGGCATCCCTCCCTTTGGAGACCAGGGCCCCAGGGGATAGGAAGGGTTTTGGCCATTTTTGATGAGGGTCACTGTTGCGCCACCAGCCCCCATACCCATCACATGGCTATCAGATGATCCGGTATGGGTGGAACAGTGGCCCTTACCAGCGGAGAAACTAAGGGCGGCTCACCAGCTAGTTCAAGAACAATTGGAGGCAGGTCATTTGGTTCCTTCCACGTCCCCTTGGAATACCCCTATATTTGTAATAAAAAAATCTTCAGGGAAATGGAGGTTACTACAAGACTTGAGGGCCGTGAATGCGACCATGCAGCCTATGGGGGCTCTGC